CAATTAAACCATTTGAAAAATAAATGCTTTAGATCAGGGACGTGCATATAGATTTGATATTAAGTTTTTTAAAAAGGCTAATACAATGTTGAAAATACATGATATGGAAAATATGCCAGCGTTATAAGTAGAATTGATAGGAGGCAGGGGGAAAAAGTTGTGATTTTGATTTTTTTAAGAAATAGACAATGGCATAAATGGACCAGATATTTTTTCAAAAAATGGAACCTCAAAATAATGATCTAAAAAGTTTTACCTACTACCAGCATATGTAATAAAAAAATTTTTAAAATACAATGAATGGTTAAAGTCTTGCATATATTACAGGCAAAGGCACATTGTCGTTAGTACCTCTCAGATCCCTCCCTTGTGTGGGATACACTGACCCCAGCCCTCTTGGCACTTTCTGAAGCAGCTCTGAAGTCCTCTTTCCTGAGGGTCTTTACTTGGGCTGTCACGGCAGCCCCACGTCCTGAATCCAGTCAGAACATTTTTCTTTCATGACCATTTTGGCTTTGAGGAAGAAGTTGCACAGGGCCAGATGTGGTGCATAAAGTGGGCACACTGTATTTTTTTATTTAACAGAAATTATTATAAATATTTTTTATCAGTGCAGGGTGATCAAGACTTACAGTGAATATTTACATTAAAAGACTTACTATAGCCAAGACCCAGCCTCACTTGTGCCCCTCAGAACACTCCCCTGCCTTCCGGCACCCTCTTCCCATCGCTCTCGGCTGCGTGTCCCTATCGGGGAAGATTTTTTCAGCTTGAACATTCACCGTGTCTTTTGATCGCCCTTGTACACTTCTATGAGTGCAAAGCCTAATTCTTTCATGTTGCTTTAATGAAAATAAGTTGCATTAATCAAGCTCACATTTAATAAATCAGTTACAAGTCCAGTATTTACATTCTCTTTGTGTACTGTTAGTGCTCTGAAGTCACAAAGTGAATTTTTTCCCCAAACAGATGCTTCCTAGGCTGTTTTATATTTTACAGTTATTTTGAAAACTTAGTTTTGAAAGTTGTACGGTTGGATTCAGTTGCAGTAGTTAACCTTGGGCTGGAGAGGTCGCTTAGAGGGTGTGAGTGCTCAGCCTGTGAGTGGCCCTGGTCTCAGCTCTCAGCACCAAAAGAGGTGGGCACTGAAGTGGGTAAGACTCATTGAGCCATGCTGGTATCTGCTGGATACATGATGCATGTCTGTAAACTGCCTGCTTTTTAGCTGTGCCTTCTGTGGGGGATGAGGGGCGTTCCCTAAGCAGGTGACCACCCACTCACTGCCTCACTGAAGCTTCCCTGGTGACAGTCTGGTTTGCAGTGATCGTACCAAGCTAAGTATGGATAGTGCTAGCGTTAGCTCTCTCAGGGTGTTGTAGTTCATATGGTAATTTATATGGCCACTCTTTCCAAGGGAGGGTATAGAGTGACAGAAAACACAGAGGCTGAGTTCCCCACCTGTCTGAGCCTGAGTAAGCAGAAGGCTCCTCCTCCTCCTCCCCATCCTCCTCCTCCTCCTGGAGAAAGTGAAGACGCACATCCAAGGGGAAGGAGTTTGCTGACACTTCTTGGGCCAAAGATTCAGGGAAGTAAGGATGTGTCTCTCAAAGTTCTGACATTTCTAAAGAACCCTTTTCCACTGTCTTCAGACTCCTGGGGCTCAGGAGTTCAGGAGGAGCCTCAGTGTCTGCCGTGGCAGATATTTGGTTAAAGGATTATTTTCATCAAGTGTGCTATTTTCGTCCTTTCCTCTTGTCCTTTCCTCTTGTCCCATCTGTTATTTCCTCCAGAAAAATACATGAGATTCAGTGAGCATTTCCAGAATCATAAGTGGTCCCACCAGCTCAGAAGTCTCATAAATAATCCCAGTGAGACTAGAGAGAGCTAAACTTAAGCCTTCGATCTGTGAACCTGGAAGAGCTGTGTTCATAGTTTATTGGTTCATATACTTTATCCAGAGTGTTGCATAAATGCATAGTTCAAGGAAATTCTAAAATAGAAATAGTGCGCTAACCAATAAATCTTCTCTTGGACTCTTTGTTTAATTAGAAACTGCTATGAGATTGCAAAGCAAGTTTTTAAAGCACTCACTTAATTTGTAAAAACCTTTTGTGATTCCTCTGAGTATCAGAATTTCCTGAAGATAATGTAGAATACAGAGACAAACCAAAATTCACTATAATAGATGATAACAGTCCCTCAGAATCCTTGATATCAAGCAGTCATATTAATATCAATTCATTCTCTTCTCACTGATGGAATTTTAAAGAAATGTTATAAATTTGGGTTTTGAACAATAAATTTATGTGACTGACAAACTATCTAACATATTTCTACTTATGGTTTCACTGCAAATAAGCTTTCCACCGTCTCAGGATATTTCGAAGTCGCTATTTTAGTTTTCTCTTCCACTTTGTGATTAGATCATTAAATCCTAAGGAAGAATGCAAGTGTCACATTGTGAGTGACAAAACCTAGAAGAAAAACCATACATCCTCCTCCTTCATAGCAAAATAGTGTGACTTTTTCTTAACCATAGTGGTAAAAAGTTCACAATTACAAATCTATCCCTTGTTGATAGGATAGTTTTCAGTATATGAAACACAAAAATGTTTGAAAGTTTGCTACTAGAATTAATATAGGCTTTTTTAGTCTTTCAGAAATATCTGAATTGACAGCATCAAAAAAGGGAAACAGCCCAAATGTCCATCCATGAAGGGATGCATAAACAGAATGGGTAAAAGAGGGCAGTGCAGGCCTGTTTAACATAGCAACATGTGGGTCCGCAACAGGCCGCGAGGGTGAGGGGGTCCCTTAAGACGGGGTCAGCTCGTGACGTCACAGTCATCTTAGGTGAGGTTCACTCTTTGATGTCTGCCCCAAAACATGTTTCTCCAAACATGTCCAAACAGTCACCGCTGCTGACTGCAGATCTGTAGCTGGATTAATATTTACCATGCAAAGGAGGAAGCTCTAACACGTGCCGGGCACCACGGAGTCCAGAACACAGCATCTCAGTGGAAAACGCCAGTCACAAAAGACCGCACGTTACATGAGTCCCTTTGTATGGAAGTACGGAACAGTGGTGTTCATCCACAAAACAGAAAATAGGCAAGAGGCAGCTTAGGGCTAGAGTCGAGGGCTCTGATGAGCTGTAGCGGTAGCCACAGTGTATGAGGGTTTTGTTTTACTTTTAGTTTTTGTTTTTGAAAAGATGAAAATTCTGTAGATTGGCTCTGGTGGTGATTGTACACATCTGTACATATAATGAAAACCACTAAATCATGAATTTCAAGTAAGTGGGCTCTATGGTATATGAATTACATCTCAATAAAACTATTAAAAATATCTGCATTGACATAACTGTCTTTCATGAGAGAATACGTTTCCTTTTCTGTTTTGGTTAGAAAGCCCTGACCTTTTTAATCCTGAATAAAGACCCCTTGCTTTCCACCACTGTCCCAGTGCTGGTAGTTGTGGCTGTGGATTAGACAGAACCTATGGCATTTGTAAGAGAAAGTGATGTCATCACCCTGATTCAAAAACTGAGCTATCTGGATACATTTTAAACCCATCTGTTCCAGAACTGATGGAAGAAGAGAACCAATGGCAATGTGAAAAGCAGGCTTCCCCTTTTAACTTGTTAGGCTACCGTCAAAATTCAGTGTTGAATCTAAGTAGCTTAACTTTCTGCTGTCTGCTTAAAAACCCCCGTAAGGGTTATTTCCCCGTGAACAATGCTGAGAGTGTTTATTTAACAAGTAAACCCAAAAATGAGAATGATTGGAAAAATTTAGTTCTCTCTCTCTCTCTCTCTCTCTCTCTCTCTCTCTTGTCCTGTCTTTCTTTCTCTGTCTCTCTGTTTTTCTGTTTGTTTGTGTCTCTCCATCTGTCTTTGTCTGTCTCTCCTTGTATCTGCCTCTCCTTGTGTCTGTGTCTCCCTGTCTCTGTGTCTCCGTGTCTCTCTCTCTGTCTGTCTGTCTCTGTCTCTTTCTGTCTCTGTCTCTCTGTCTGTCTGTCTCTCTCTCTGTATCTCTCTCTGTGTCTCTGTCTCTGTCTCTCTCTCTCTCTCCGTCTCTCTCTCTCTCTCTGTCTCTCTCTCTGTCTCTCTCTCTCTCTGTCTCTCTCTCTCTGTCTCTCTCTCTCTCTGTCTCTCTGTCTCTCTCTCTGTCTCTCTCTCTCTGTCTCTCTCTCTCTCTCTCTCTCTCTCTCTCTCTCTCTCTCTCTGTCCCTGTTTTATGTTTAACACTGGCTGTCTTCCCAGTTGCTTTCAGGGCAGTGTTCATGGCAGTATGTAGCCCAGGATCAATGGGCTGGGAGAACCCACTAATTTTCCATTAGCCCTGAATGCTTAGCCTTACTTAACTACTCACAAATCAGTTTCTCTTGTATTTTTCTGTCTCCTTTCCAAAGCATTGAGTCCGAGAGCCAGCGAGACAGTAAACCCTCGTGAATAACCTTGTGCATCGTCAGCAGCAGACAAGCAGAGGTTTACTGCTTGCTCAGATCCAGACCAGCTGTGTGATGCTGCCTCTCTGTTTTTTCTTTCCTCACCATTGTCATTACTTGTAAAATTAGGAAACTGCACAAAGTAGTTTTAGCTTCCTAGCTCCAACACCTTGTGATTACCCAAATCCAATGCACGTTCCACACACCAGACAGTCGGCTTGGGTGACTCCCGGTGAGCCTTGTGTACACGCTGGGGCCTTTGCCTGGGGAGGCTGTGTGGGCCTGCAGAGGGGGGCAGCGAGTGATGGTGAATCTTTCCCTGATAGCCCATCTGGGCTGCTATTCCTGGGCTGCCCCCTGCCTGCTGGGGAGTCCAGCTGAGGGCTGCTGGGGGTCAGTTGGGGTTAAAGCACTGGCATTCTAGATCTGCAGATGGAGCAGCCCAGAGGATGAATGATTAACCCAAAGAGTAAATTATTTGGAGAGTGGGGCTGAGGGGGTGGGGATCTGAGGGCTGGGGTATGGAAAAACATGTGTGTTCCGCATACACATATGCGCCATTGGCTCATCCTGCAGTTCTTAGTGTAGATTCTTTGCTGCTGGATTGAATGTTTTTATTTTACAGACATGCACATACATGTACATCACACATGTGTTTTGAGGATCTACACATTAAATTATCACTTGCAAATCGGTTCGGCCGCATAGATCAGAAAAAGATAGTTAAGTCCTGGACAGGGAGAGAATAAATGAACAGGAATGAAGGGGCAGAAAGGTGACCCTGGGGGTCTTCGGTGCCAGTATGGTGACGGTGCTGCCCACGGCAGGAACCTTAATCAGGAGAGAGAGACAGAGGCTCCCCCGCGGCGGGCACTCACTCCCCTGTGTTTGCCTGCCCTGCTGCATGTGACCGACCAGTGAGCGCCCAGGCAGCCGCAGCCACAGCTGTGACGAGGCAGCCGCAGCCCTGCCAGCCCCCGCCCTGTCTCATTGAGCAGGGAGCTAGCAGAGGAGCCAGGCGCCTCCCCGAATGGGCTCTCCACCGCTCTGCTCTGACTCCTAGGAGCTGGAAGACAGGATGGAAGCCCGCGGAGAGCATCAAAGTATGCAGGCGCTGTGAGAGGGCCAGGGGAGACCGTGGCGAGGGCTCCCTCCCACACTGAAATGCTTTCTGGACAAGTTGCCCTGATTCTCCTCCTGTTTCGCTCAAATGAAAGGAGCCAGCAAGGACCATCCTGAGTGTTCCGAGAAACCTCTCTGTGGTTGCTCCTTTCCCAGGGCACAAGCTGTCAGCTGACCTTTCCACAGGAATCTCAGCCCAGCCGAGGAGATGGTGCTTAATAAAACAAAACAAACCAAACAGGTCCTGCTGTCTGAATGGGTGGTGTAGCTTGCTTGCTGTCTTCTCTGCCTGTGACATTTCGGAATGTGGAATGTCTGCACAAACTTAAAACAAGAATACATTGAAATCTCCCTGGATTAGGCCAAAGGAAAAGAAGTTTTCTGCCAGAAAGGAGGAAAGGAGAGTTGGTAATTTATCCATAAGCCAGGACCTGGCCGATCGGTATCTTGGAGTTGTAGGAATCAGGACTTCAAGGTAACACATAAACCAAAATGAGGAGAGATGGCAAGACCCCGCCCACAGGCGGGGTGTAAAACACCTGCACCTGGTTTGGAACTCGGGGACTGAATGATGCCTGAAGACCGGAATTCTGGGGGACGACCCTCAGGTACCCTAGCTCCAACCACCTTCATACCCAAAACTACGTACAGAAGAATCAAACGGTGCTTTAGTTTTCGAAAAGGTAAGTAAATGACATTTTCACGTTCTCATAGAAGTATACCTGTATTCTTTCATGCTCGGAGGTCTGTGTATGCTCAGATGAACCAGAACCTGGAAACTTACAACTGTGCAAGAGGGACTTGGGTGTGTCCTTGACATCTGCACTTATTTCTTAGGGCTCATATTGATGTGTGTGACTATTTGTGAATGAACGAAGTGGGTGCGGTGTAAGACGTGGTGGTCCTCTAGTGATCATCTTGACAGAGAACTGGGCAAGTAGGGCTGATATCTTGAAAGGAGGGGCCACGCCTGTCTGGGTGCCTCCCGGACACCCACCCAGCAGCCACCTCCTGCAGCCTCACACAGGTCCACGGCAGTCCCTGTGCTGTGTCCTGCTGCTGTGTTCTGGCTGCCTCTGCTCACCTCACCTCTCCCTACAGGGACAGTTTTGAGAAACCAATTATCTCTGGGGACGCTGTGAAGAAACTTGCAGATATATTGGTTAACACTGGCTAGAAATAAGAATCCCCTTGTCTGTGCAGATACTTCGTGAAATGCCTTTGGGAAAGCGGGGAGAGATGAACTACTGTCAGGAAAGGGGGTGGGGAGATACAACTTTTGGTTAATAAAACAAACTAACATTCCTGGATGGGCTTATTCTGAGGGAGTCAAGGCCTGAGTAAAATGCAGTGTTTTCAGAAAATGTTTATGTATGAAAACATCTTAAAGTTTCCTTTTGCTTTAAAATGAGAATAAGTGAAATGTCTGTGTTAAGCACAAACTAGGTAATTATGACCTCAGAGCTATGCACAGCAAGTGTCAGGGGCAGAACTGAATGGCACCTGGGGTGGTTCCTCCCTTTCTGCTTTGCCACCTGCCAAGTAACTTCCTTTCTTAGTAGCCAAAAAAAAAAAAAAAAGAATGAGAAAAAAAACTAAGAAAAATCAAATGCACAAAATATAAGAAATTTTTTTAATCTTTTTTATCAGTACCAGGGATCGAACTCACGACCGCCTGCTTGCAAGGCAGGTGCTTATGCCGCTGAGCTAAATCCCCAGCCCCAAGAAATGTTTTTATTCCTTTTATTTCTTCTGCGTCTTTTTCTTTGAAGAAGTAACGGTCACGTGTTAGCAGCCAGAAATTCAGGGATTAACTCCCATTCCTGTTTCATTCATAGAAGAAATTAAATGAGAGATACATAGTTTTGATCTTATGTTTTGTAGATCTTTGGGGATTTCATGAATGCTGTCAGATTATATCAGTGATAGAGACATTGAAAATGACACTAGAAGGACGCGTCCCTTTCTTCTAGCTCTCTGCCCCTTAGAAGTTCAGGACTTGTTTGCAGGGTCATCTCTGAGGGCCGAAAAGGGTCTGCTTCACCCCCTCACCTTCCTTGCTCCAAGGTGGGGTATGGTGGACCTGTGACGGGCCCTGGAATGGCTTCCGTTCCCCTGGCCTCTCCCTCCCTCCTTGACCCCAGCGGGGAAAGGCAGCACCTGCACCCCAAGATTTCTCACCAGGGGCTGCAGACGCAGGGAAAAGCACACATCATTCAGCTCTCTAAGGTGCCATCCTTCCTAGGTAAATCTGCTTGAGGAGTTCAGCTTTGAAAGAAGGACTAAGCCAGGTCACCTTTGCAAGGCTGTATTCTATATTCTCTGATGACCAGTAAAGGAGGGGTGGCAGGAAGCCTTCAGGCTGCCCCTGCCTGATCCCCTGCTGCTGAGCCTGTGAGCACAGAGGCCTGGGGGAGCCAGGTACCCAGCTGTTGCCTGCTGCTGCCCTGCCTGCTCTCCAAGGCCGTGCCACCCTGAGAAGAGAGTGCTTTCTGTGCTTTCTTAGATCGCCTGGCCGCTTAAGTGTTTCCAGAAGTGGACTGATTTCTGGGCTGTCCTGGCAGCAGCATTTAAAGCAACCCAGCAAGGAATGCTTGTGAAGCTAGCAAAAATGCCAAGAAGGGAAAACTGTGGATATAGCTACTCTTCCCGATCCACATTTTAGATATATATATTTTTTATTGTTGCTGAGGGCAGAACGACTGGAGAGGAGACTCCAAAATGTCCTGGCTTCCCAAAGACTCTCCCAGCGGCCTGGTGGGTGCAGAGCCTGCTCTGGGCAGTCAGGACTCCTTTTGCATAGTGCCTTTGGTTTCCAGACTCTTTCTTTCACACTTTACTGCCCTTTTCGTCTCTTTCTTTGTTCCAATACTAATTAAGTTCCCTGAAACGGCTTCCCAGTGGTCTTAGAAACCCAGGAATTAAGAAACGTCTACTAGGGAGGAAGTTGGGGAATGTGGTACTTCCCATTTACGTTGTGGTGAGAGAAAGATTACAATGTATTTTCACTGTGGATTTTGAGACTGTATTTTCATTACGTCTGTACACTAATATCAGTGTATAACTGATTTCTGTGCTTTCATTACACAGGAAGGTATACGTATTGGTTCTTGAGCGCTTAGCCTAACTAGAATGGGCTAGATGACTTGCTGTCCCAGGAAATGGAATTTTTCAACTCTAACTTTGCCTTACTTTTTCCATGAATTTCTTTCTCAGGGCATCTAAATCAGCACCCATTCCCCAGTGGCTTTTTGTGCACTAGAACCACTTAGAGGTCATGCAGGACCCTTTGGGCTCCTTGCAGACCCAGCCCCCATCTCCCCAGTTGTCTTTATTGCTTCCTTCATGCAACTTACCTTAAGTAGTGGCCATGCAAGACAATGTCCATCTCCACCCTGCCCACCACTAATGTTCTTCGGAGTCCTGACGCCCAGAGTCCACTCGTAAAGAATTGCTGAATATCTATTCCTAAAACATGCTGTCAAGCAACATTCCACATCTCAAAAGGTTTTAGGAGCTCCCGTGGCCCACAGGAAGAAGTCTTTCAAATAATTATCAATGCCTTTTAAAAAACTAGCCACGCCTATTACCTGCTGTGCAAACTCCCTAGTTCCTTAGGCTGACCTACATTCTCTCCCTAAACACATGCCCTGCCCCTCCTGAGTGTCTCTGTTCGATCTGTTTCCTCTGCTGTGATGCCTTCTCCTCCATTTCTCATCTAGATTTGACCCTTTGAACAAGATGTCTTACATTTCTGCTTCTTCATCAAACCCAGAATGATCCTTAGTCTGTGGCCCTTAAATAAAACATCCTTGTAGCCACCTTAAGTGACTGTGAGCATTTGTACACACACACACACACACACACACACACACACACATCCTCCTAAAGTGAAGTTTAACGATAGATTTTTTCAGTAAAGCATTCAAGACTGATGATACCCCGATAAAGTCCATATCTCTACCTATCTTTTTTTGCTAATCCATAGGCCATGTTGAATTAAAATAGGACAGTTTCATAGTAGTGGTGGATCATAGGAACATTCTCTTTGGGATTTATTGTTGTAATCATATTTTCTAAGTTTTTTTTTTCTAACAAAAATGTTACTACCTAAATCTGTATCATTTTAAATTATAAATCAGTAGCTCAATAGTTCATATATCAAAGGTTTTTGGACCCCCCTATCAAGCTATGCTAGGAATGAGAAGATAAACAAACCAGGTTTCCTAAAAACCTGTGAAATCACAGAGGGTAATAAACAAGTAATAACTTGAGGGTAATAAACAAGTAATAACTTGTTAACCTTTGTAAACACTGTAGCAAATTTTGTACACAGTCCTGAGAGGCTCATGTGAAAAGGCAGCATTACCTCAATTACATGAAGTCCTATTTTCTCCTATATGACCCTACAAAAGTGGTCAGCATAACTATAAAATGTCTGAATAAAGGTAACATAATATAGTGGGGGAAAGATGACTTTAAAATAATATATACTTGTAACCCAAATATGCTCTTTTGTAGATGTGTGGCCTCAGATAGGTCACAGTAGCATCTTTGAGTCAAGTTTTCTATTTGTAGAAGAAAGGCTGCCTTGCACAAGGTCTGGGAGCATCCAATAAAGAAAGCCATGTAAACTGCACAGCTCAGTACCTGATGCAAGGGATTTCTGTCGTGTCCCACTGGTCCAAGGCATAGGCTCCTAGATCACTGTGTTAACCCGTAACAGCTTCTTCAGATTTCCAAGCCTTTGTCTTTCACTTCTGTCCTCTTTCTGACTGTGAAGTAGTCAGAATTCCACCAACCATTCCGGACTCATTAGGACTGCTAGCTCCTCGGATTTAAGGGTTTGTAGTTACATAAGAACTTTTGGCCACTTGGAAAGCTACAGACAGGTTGAAGTAAATTTTGGCTGCCTTTCCTTCGTAATTCTGTGCTCAAATGTTGTCTTTTATTTTGATTTATCTGTTTACCAAAGGTGAATGTTCATTGGAAGCTCTTACAGTCCTGGTGATGACCAGGTCTCTCCTGGTGGCAAAGTTGGAGTCAGCAGCAGGAAAAGTAAAGCAAATTCCCTCTGTGGCTGACCACGGACCCACAGACAGAAGAGGTGGAAAACACTACGCACAGATTCCACAGCGTGTGAAACTATGGTTCTGAGCTTCTGTCCTCTCATTAGCAAACTGAAGGGTTACAGTTTGTGTTTGGGTGTCACCCCAAAGCCTCATACAGTCATGGGGGCAGGCTTTTAGAGTTGATGATTGATTCACAGTGCTGGGATTATGGGTGTGAGTGCTGCGCCCACCCTAGGGTATATATTCTATATACAGTATACGAGATAGGAAGAGTCTGTTTTTGTGCTCCTCCTTTTGTTTTTTATTTTCTCTGGCTGCTTTTGCTGTCTTCTGGCCTCCATGAACTGTTACCCTCTGCCACGCCACCCTGCCTTGCACCCAGCTGATTATGGGCTGAAACTTCCACAAACTGTGAGCTAAATACGTCTTTCCTTAATTTTGGGTGTCAGATATTTTGTCTCAGCAACAAGAGAAAAGTAACCAACACACAAGGACACTTATATTCTTGGATTTTTACAGAAATTAATGTCATCACTAAGAATTTTTGATGAGTTGAATTTTATAATGCTGTATCTCATTTATTGCCTATGTTATGGAGGTTGTATTTTGTT